ATTATTTTTGCTAAAGAAAATAATAATTTATTGGGGCATATTATAATTTAGGTGGTTTATAAATAAATATTTTTCATCAAAATAAAATATACTAAAATTTTAAGTTTTTAGAGGCAAAACAAAAAAAATATTTAAAAAAAAATTAAATCAAAATCCCTCGAAGGGATGACCTACAACCTATTTTAATTTTGGGATCAAAATGATCGGTTGACCTAGAAATATAAAATAAAAAAGTGTTTGCAATTTTGGGTTTAACGTATTTTTTATGTACCGTGGGACATATTTGGTTTTGACCGGACGCTCTGATCAGATTTTTCAGGAGAGATAAAAAACTGTTTTTAAATTAAGTACATTCAATTCTTGCAAAATAAAGCGTGTTTCTATATCCTCTTGGGCTCCCTAGCCCGCCTGAATAAGCCATCTTGATTAAAATTCATTCAGAATTTAAAAAATCATTGAGAATGGAATGTTTGTTTATGACCAGATCGCATGTTTTTGATCGGATCCTAGCAAGACTTAGTTGTTTTTGATCATATAATATATATATGATCAATAAGCGAGATTATTTTATTTTGAGGATCCATTTTTGTTTTGGTTCAATTACACATGTCCACAAAAAATAAAGTCTGCGACATGAATAAGACCATGATATTCTTGTATTTGTATTCTTGTATTCTTATATTATTACCCGCTGAATCAGAACTTAGTTTAGCCCCTATATGCCTGGATTTTTTTAATTTTTATACACGGTTCGGGTTTCCAGAAAAACTTTTTAGTTTGCGTCTAACGAAAATAATCATTAAACCACTTTTTTAAAATAATATCCAGAGCGCTATATGTATTTTTATGATTTGTTTGATATTTTGTTTTACATTAGAAAGTAAATAAATATAAATATACCTGTCTAGATTTTAGAGTTACACACTCTTTTAAAATATATTAGTCAAAAATGACTAATTATAATTATAATTATTATGATAATTAGCATAGCGAAAATTTCAGCCACTAATAACTGTAGTGGACTATTGATGTGGACATCAATTTGTATCCAGAACATTGGCATGGCATGGCCCCAGTGGCGGAATAAAACCGTCGGGGGCCCAGGGCGGCAAAATAAAATGGGGACCCTAAATCTGCAACTTCTCTGTAAGAAAAGATTTTAATATTTAATATTTAAAAAAAGTGGTTGAATACCTTATATTAAATTTGTTAGTAGGTTTTTCGCAACCAGGGTGCCCCCCCAGAAGTCTTTTATCATCGATCTAATATTTTAACTAGTTGGTAATTTCTTTTTAAAAATCATGGAGCCCACTTCTATTTCAAAAATTACATAGGCCTATGTTTTTCTGACGCTGCAGCTTCAAATTGTTATGTATTTATTTTATTTTTATATTTCCTAATTTCAATTAATTGTTAAAAAAAATCATTCAATAATTTAAATGAGCTTGTTTTACTTAAAAATCTTTAGATTATGATTAAATAAAATAAACAATTATAAGAATATGAAAAAATTAAAAGATACTGTTGTATTAAATACAATACCAGACATTGTCAAAAGCAAATTCCGCACATCCATAGTGAAATCCAGTGGAAAATTGAAAAATCTCCTGACGAAGTTCAACAGGACGTGTTAATGGGGTTTAAGGCCCGCCCCGGGCCCCCGGTCCAAAAGGGCCTCTAAATCTCAAGTAGTCTATCTCAGTCCAATAAAAAAATAGCTAAAATTTTATGTATGTATAAATATAAATATTTCAGGACCCAGCTTTACCATAAAATATAAACTGATTAAAAAAAATACCGCGGAGATTTCGAGTTTCTAAAGAATAACATGCTATGGGAAAAACAAAATATTAAGTCAAAACTAGAAAAGATTTTTAATATTTTGGTTTTGAGAGCCCCTAGCTGCAATCCATCAGGAATAAAAAAAAAGGTTATAATTACATTAAGACTGCCATGAGTGAGCCCCTTGATTAAAAAATTTAAATTATTAACAAGTTCAAATATAAGTATACTTATAAGTTCGGTGGAAAAAGCTTGTAATCAATTTTCATATCCCTGATTACCTTAAGAGTGTTGCGAACGACTTGCTAAGAGGATCTACTAACCAATTTAAAATAACAAAATATTAATATTTACAAAATAATCACATCATTTCATAAGCAGACTAGGGGCCCATTTTATTTCACCGCCCTGGGCCCCCGACGGGTGTAGTCCGCCATTGCTTATTATCATTAGTAATGGTCTATTACACATATAAATTGTTTTTATACAGAGACCATCATCTTTAATAATAAGAAGCTGGTTATTTTAAAAAACAAATTTTGTATTACAAGATCATTTTTCTTAGTTTCAAATTTCAAATTATATAAGTGCTCGAAAAGAATACAATAATGCCTCTAAAAAGCAGTGTACGTTTTTTCACTGATCATCTTTTGTCAAAAAATTGTCGAAATTAATTAAAAACCCGTAATATACATAATATGTAGGTATTAAATAATATCATATAAATGTAATAATAATAAACTAAATTAAGCTATTTTATAAAAAGATGTTTTATTTACATTTTAAAAAGAACCTCATACGGATTTTTAATTAATTTCGACAATGTTTAGATACAAATTTCCGCCATTTTAGGTCCACCATTTTGAATTTTGGAATTCTGATTCCAGATTTATTATCAGCGACCGTATGGTGATTTTCAATTTATTCCGTAAATTTTTTTTTTAAATTAATATTAAAAATCTCCGTCACTGGATTCGCTAAAAAAAATTGTCAACACAAATAACCACAATTCAAATTTGACATTAACATACTACACTGAAAAAAATAAGCTGTTGAAACAACAAAAAAAATATTAATTCAACTCTTTATGCACTTTAAATACAAGCAATGGTTTTTGCACGTTTACTTAACCATCTAAAAATGTCAAATTGTATTGTTTAATTGAACAACAAATAACAGTCAAATGAACAAAATAAGAATATTTGTTCTAATCTGCTAATTTGGTTAATTTAACATTCTTAGGGTGTTAAAGTAAATTTCTTGAAATGTCCAGGTAACCTTTTTAGCATATTCACTTAACACCAATAAAATGTTAAATTAACATTCTGAAAATGTAAAATTATTTCGCCCAGAGTTTTTGTTTTGAGCGTGTTCCACCCATGATACATCTTTGTATCATGTGTTCCACCTACTTCAAATACCGACAGACTGTTTCGCCCTGTATTGAGGGTCTTAACAGTGTCGGGCAATATGGTGTAGTGAAAGTTCTACTGTGGAACACCCTAGACCCTAGACCTAGGTGGAACACACCTTAAACAAACAGATATCTCATCTTATATACACCTAATCGTAAGCTAACTAAGGCGAGATGTAAGAAAACGTCATTGTCTAATGACGTGGCGTGAGTGTTCGAAGCGCCATTCTCGGCAATTTTATGAATGCAAATTTTACATTTTAAATTTTAAAGTAACATTTTAATTTTGTTAAATGAACAAATTTAAAGTTTTGGATTAAAGAGCAACTAAACGTTAATTTAATAGTTTTTTTAGGTAATCCTAAAAATTTCAGTAGTTGATTCAACAAATTCCAGCTATTAAATCAAAGTACGATAAACATTTTAATTCAAAATATTAGTTTATGTTAAATTAATATTTAAACTGTCAAATGAACAAATAAACTTTGACAAACTCTGACTTTTGCTTTAACACCAAAATATAGATTAATCCAATAGGTTTTTTGTTGAAACAACATTTTTAAAAATGACATTTAGGCAAATGTTAACTCAACTACTTTATTTTTTTCGGTGTACAATGCGCATGTAAAATCGGTGTTAAATATCTTAGTAGTCACGAACGATTTACGCAAGTGAAAGTCTAGACACCGCTGTTGTAATAAACGTTTTGAGTTAAATCCGAGTGAATCGAGTAAACGTCATGAACGCAACCCAGAAATAAAAAAAAATCTTAAATTTTGTAAAGCAAAAACACAGATACACGCGCGACATGGGCTTAAAATCGCGAGGTTTTTTACCACAACCGTGCCTGAGCGCCCAAGAACATGTAGTTTTAAAGAGCCGGGGGCGAATTGGGGCATATAATTTATTGATGGCTTGATAGACAAAACTCTAAGTTATTCAACGGATCTTGAACTGATGCCTTACAATTCATTACAATTTTTGTAGCTCCATTGTTCTAAAAGCTCGATCCAAAGTTTGCGATTTTAACAGACCGATCTTGTCGGTTACAATAACCCGCTGTACAAGCAAAATCTACGAAAAACAAATACATATCTGAATTTTACATATCTTGAAGATCACCCTTTATCAAACCGCATAACAACCGGACACACCAAACACAAGTTATTCACTTTTAAACAATAAACAATTTTCCGCAGCGATAGCGTGTAAAGCACCTTCAACTGAAAGCGTCAAGCGTCAAACTGATGTACAAGACAAAATATACGTATTTTATATAATTTTTTTTAATACAGGATGGAGACAGGTATTAACTACCCATCTAACTCAAAATTTACCTGAAAAAAAATGTCAATTTTTGAGATTTTGCCGATATTTTCGAGAATTGAACCACTGTGCCTAAAGAAATTATCCCATAGGATATAGAACGCCAAAATGTTGTAGCTTGAATACCAAACCAAAAAGACAATTTTGGTTACCCAGTCCATATGATAAAAAACAAGCAAAAACTAAAACACATATTTAGAAATGTCTAAAATCTTCTTTTAATATATATAAATAAAAAAAACATTAAATTTTTAAGCGATTTTGATCCCTAATATTTGCTGCAGTTTGTTTCTATCTTTTGTATCCATGTAAACCAAATAATTTATTGTATACATGTAATCCAAATAATTAATTACTTTTAATTATTTAATAATAAATAATAACTTTTAATTATTTTAATTTTTAAACGATCTTTACCCAAAATTTTGCCGCTTAGGTTTTATTTTCCAACAATTTAAACTAAACAATTTTATTTCAGAAAATCCTTATTTTGAACTTGTATCATCAAATGGATTGGATAAATTTTGGGCTTTAAAAACCACTGGTCCCTTGAATAGAGAAATAGCGGGATATAAAGCAAATTTAGATGTTGTTTGTACAGTTGAAAATGAACAAGGGTCAATCAGGGAATTGGAAAAAAATATTCAAGTAAACATTCTGGATGTTGATAATAACATGCCTGTTCCACAGGATACCCATTATGATTTTAATTTAACCTCTTCTATGTTTAAAAAGGTAAATATATTTAAATGTGTGTATGTATTTTAGGCTAGTATACAAATATAAAATAATTGTTGGATTGAGTACCTGCATTAAATTGTACTTTGGACAGATGCCAAGGCTTTTAAGTCTCTTTAAATCCGGTTATTTCCTGCAATCTGTGAATACATGAAATATGGAAATATTGCTATTGATTAAAATACAATTTAGGCATATATGTAGAAAATGTGTATTTACAATGACAATTCCATACTTTCTGGGTAATAAATACTTTTTATGGGGTATAGGTTTAGGTATACATATACATATATACACTTACTTATTTTTAAATATTAACATTTTTTTTAAATATGATATACTAGGACACTAGAACATTGGTTTTGTAAATTTTCATTAAAAATTTGTAATACTAATTTTTTCGATAAAAAATTGTTTTTTCTAATTAATGCAAAACTTGTACCTACATACACAAAGTTCCCTGTAAATTTGAGGAAAACTAAAATACTTAAATCTGCTTATAATGTAGATAACAAACTTCTGAGAAATTACAAATAGGGTTATCTGGTAATGATTCTTACCCATTATCACGAAGGATTTATTTTATTGCTTTAGGGTTTACGTATCGGATTAAGTTTGATAACTGAAGCCTTTGCGTTGGTGTATATATACAGTATATAGTATATAATATACTGTAAACTAACAGTGTCTACAAATAAATTTATAAAATTACTAATAATTGATTAGTATAAAGTATATGCAATCCTGGTATTTTATGTTGCTGTTACCATTTAATTGTTATTTTATTTTTGGAACATTTTGTTTTTGGAACAATTGTTTATTAAAATTTATTAAAGGAGAAATAGAAATGCCCTTAAAAATTTTAATTTAATTTAATGTCGGTTCCAAAAACAAAATAACAATTAAATGGTAACAGCAACATAAAATACCAGGATTGCATATACTTTAGTAAAAGGTAGATAAAAATCGTATTTATCCCTTATCACACTACTTTATGGCAAGTTCTATTTCCGCTCGGAAACGTTAAATAGGTAATGAATTAAATTAAAATCCAGGAAAAAGAAACTATATAAGCTTTTATAATAAAAAATTAAATTTCTATAGAAACTAAGGTGTTAAAATATATATTAAATTTTTGGCTATACCTACTAATAATTATTATTATTAATATATTAATTATAATTACAATGCCATTTTGCCACAGGGTATCCAACTTTTCAAGGAGACCATCATTTTGCTAAATTTTGTTTTTGCGATATTGTATTTATATGTGTCACAGTCAAAGTATACAGTGCAGTAGATGTATACACAAGTAGCTATTGTATACATTTACGTGAAAAATTAATAAAAGTGTACTTTTACTAGTAAATGCATACATTTACTATTGGTTGTATTTTGTGTTGGGTTATTTCGGTTGATTTTGTGGGTTGAGATGGTTAGTTTTAGTTTATGTAAATGTAAACATCGACTAGTAAGTAGGTAAGTTAGTTAATGCGCTTTTGAATACATTTATGTATAAATATTATATTCTGTAACAAGTTTGGAAAACAGCATATTCCGCTCTAGTGAAGAGTTTGTTACACGAGCCGAAGGCGAGTTTGACGGTTTCACGAGAGCGTGTTTCAGACTTTACTTTTTCTACGTTTCCAAAAAATACCATAGAAAAATAATTTAATTGGGAGGAAGTAAGGTTGGATCGGACTAAAATTTGTTAGATATTAAAAACAGAGATGTCGCCACGAGTGTTTATTCTGTCATCAGATGATAGAATATTTCATTCTGTAACACTTTACGGAATATATGTCATTCCATAGATAAAAGTGATATTAGAAGGGTCAAATTCCGTAATAGGAGTAGAAAAAATCAGTTATTGTATACATAAGCAGTCAGAAAATTTACACATTGCCTGTAACATATACAAACATTAAAATTCGTATATATACATGTATGTACACACACTACAGTGGGTGTATTAGATGTTAATCGGGAAAATTTAATAGTCAATAGAACTCGCAAAAATTATAAAAAAAGTTTATATAAATTTGTATGCTTTAAAGCTTTGTTTTCGAGATATATAATATTAGTTAATAAAAAAAGTATGGTTAAATTAGGCCCTTTATCTATTACTAAAAACCTAAAATGTTTTATCAAATTCGGCCAAAAAGTTTGTAAAATATTAAATGTTTTTTTTTAAACTTGACCAACCTGTATCTCGAAAAACAAGCATTAAAACATACGAGTTTATAGGTGTAAACTCTGTGGGTAAAAGGCATAAGGGGATAAGTCAAAAAAAGCAATTTTTCAATAGAGCCTTTAACGTATTCGCATTAATTCATGAAATATATTTATGTTTAGGGGGTATACGCTTTTGTTAGTATATGACATGGGCTAATAAAAGGGTATACCCGCTAACCATAAATATGTTTCCTGAATTAATGCGAATACGTTTAAGGCTCTACTGAAAAATTGCTTTTTTTGACTTATCCCCTTATGCCTTTTACCCACAGAACTGTTCTTATTATTGTGTTGTATACAGGGTGTTTATTTTAACTTGAGACAGCTCAATATCTCAAGAAATACGCATTTCACGGAAAAATGTTTTTAATAAAAGGTTAATGTGACCAAAGGGGACATTATTTGGTGCTACCGCTAGCCACCCCTACCCCTCCTTAAGGGTGAAACGGGGGGTAACTTTGGAGAGTCAAATGGGATAACCTTTTTTTACAGATTTTGGTAGTACATAAAAAAATTAATAACTTTTATTAAAAACTTTTTTCAATTTATCAACAGATGGCGCTGTAATTCAAAACTTAAGAAAAATGGGTTTTCTTGTAAAATGTATTATTTGAAACGTTTTATAAACAAAAATTAACATCAAATCAACAATAGTCGGCTCTGAAAACAATTTATAACCAATGTTCGAAATCTTCGTCCTTCCATTTCGACACCAAGTGGAGCACCAGCGTCCCTGGTCGGTACGGTACCTTTGGCGAACGGCATTAAATGGTGAAAAGTACCAGAATTTTCTAGAAAACGATCTGCCAGACTTCTTCCTGTGGGGTTACTTGAAAGAAAAAGTTTACGCTGCAATTCTTACAACTCCGGAGGACATGGTGGAGCCAGAATTCATTACCCGCATTAAAAAATGTGTGTAAATGAAAGGATGACATTTTGAACATTTGTTATAAATTGTTTTCAGAGCCGACTATTGTTGATTTAATGTTAATTTTTGTTTTTCAAACGTTTCAAATAATACATTTTACAAGGAAACCCAATTTTCTTAAATTTTGAATTACAGCGCCATCTTTCGATAAATTAAAAAAAGTTTTAATTAAAAGTTATTCATTTTTTTATGTACTACCAAAATCTGTAAAAAAAGGGTTATCCCATTTGACTCTCCAAAGTGACCCCCCGTTTCACCCTTAAGGAGGGGTAGGGGGTGGCTAGCGGTAGCACCAAATAATGTCCCCTTTGGTCACATTAACCTTTTATTTAAAACATTTTTCCGTGAAATGCGTATTTCTTGAGATATTGAGCTGTCTCAAGTTAAAAGAAACACCCTGTAGAACGATATATCGACTACTATATTTGTCCGATTAAAGTCTGAGACACCCTGTATATATCGCTATATATATATCAGGGTATTCAAAAATTGGCGCCCCAAGCATGAAGTTAAAATGGTGGCACATAGTTTTCGTACACCAACTCGAATATTCGGTCTTTTAGGGAGGCAAAGCTATCAATTATATCAAGGGTGTTGCCACAGTGTGTACATGTAAAGATCCCCTTCACCCAGTTCACCTGACGACCCGCCACTGACTGAATATCTTTTTGTAAGCTAAAAAAATATTTAAAAAAAACTCGTCCGCTAGAGCAGAAAAACTAAATAACTCCTGCAATTTAAAAAAAAAAAAAAATAAACGATATTTTTGATTACTACCTTAAAAGGTAAAGTATAGCTACAACTTGTAGCTAGCTTTAGCCTACAACTAAATTTTAATTTAAAAAACAAACGTGTAATTGTATAACACGGTATAGAAGTAAAAATTCTCTGCAGTACTCGCAATCTTACCCGAAAGGGGGTTGAGGAATTGGTAATTGGTAGAAATAATTTTCAATAAGCATACACCATGATGGTGTATGCTTATTGAATTGGTGTCACCATCTATTGAATTTGTATTTATTATTATCCTGTTCTTTGATCATATTTACAATCTAGGTACAAAACAATAGGCTTATGATAACTAAAGAATGAAATAATAGTTATTTATGTCATAAGGCTGAGAAGTGAGTCGTTTTGTGCTGAGCTCAAAGTTTGAATGTCGCGTGGCGGAGGCCTACAATTGAGCAAAGCACAAAAAGACCCTTCTTAGCCGCATGGAATACAACCTTTTATCTTCAAGGCATAATTCTGTGGGTAAAAGGCATAAGGGGATAAGTAAAAAAAATCAATTTTTCAGCAGTGCCTTAAATGTTTGCGCATTAATTTAGGAAATACATTTATGGTTAGCGGGTATACCCTTTTGCCAGCACATGTGATATGCTAGCAAAAGGGTATAGGTACTCGCTAATCATAAATATATTTCCTGAATTAATGCGAACACGTTTAAGTCTCTATCGAAAAATTGCTTTTTTTGACTTATCCGGATAAGGGGATATCCCCTTATGCCTTTTACCCCCAGAATTTTTATTGTAATACATTAAACATACAGTTTTAATATTTTAAGTAAAATTTATTAAAAGTAGAAGGCGAGGTTAGATTTGATCTGAGGAATTTTTTGATTGGTCCAAAAGGGTTTTTTACAGACTAGGAGGTAAAATTATATATATATATATATATATATATATACAGTAGGGTGCTTCGTTTGAGACGACTATTTTTTGTTTCTTACTCCATTGACGAAATATTGTTCTAAACATAGAAAAAAAAATTCCCTCCAAAGGAGAGCTCTTAATTTTAATTTTAAGTACTCGCTAAATGAATTTAAAGTTTTCCCATTTAATTAACCCGTAAATTTATTTTTTTTTGCTTAAATTATCTATAGCATAGCGATATTTCAAGGCATTAATTTGAAAATGGGTGGAAGTTGGAGAGGGATCATTCCTCTTTCAAAGCTCTTACAGCTAATTTCCAACTTTTGAATTATATTGCCAGTAAAAAATTGTGTAGTTAATTTTTGCTCTTGGTTTTTCGAAATTTATCTCAGAAACAATTTATTCTTCGGGTTCGGCTGTTAATTTGTCTTGTAGGAAATTAAATTCTCTACAAAAAAGGTCCTTTACAATTTTGGTGTCAAGACAATAGTTTAGGAGAAAAAGTCGAAAAACGACGATTTTTGAGCAAAAATCAACTAAACAATTTTTTACTGGCAATATAATTCAAAAGTTGGAAATTAGCTGTAAGAGCTTTTAAAGAGGAATGATTCCTCTCCAACTTCCACCCATGGTCATATGAATGCCATTAAATGTCGCTATGCTATAGATAATTTAAGCAAAAAAAAAATTTTTACGGGTTAATTAAATGGGAAAACTTTAAATTCATTTAGCGAGTACTTAAAATTAAAATTAAGAGCTCTTCTTTGGTGGGAATTTTTTTTTATATGTTTAGAACAATATTTCGTCAATGGAGTAAGAAAAAAAAAATAGTCGTCTCAAACGAAGCACCCTAATATACAGGTTGAGTCATTTAACTTGAAACTTTGAAATATCTCAGTTATTATGCATTTTACTAAAAAATGTTTAAAATAAAAATTAAATGATTCGAGGGGGGAAATCAATCAGTACTAAAATTGGTCCTTATACTCTCCTCCTTATAGGGGGAACAGGGGGTAACCTATATATATATATACAGTGTGACCCATTTGTTGGCGACTCACACCTGTAAAAAACATATTTTTACAAAATACGTGGCCTACTATGTTAGTTTTTGAAAGTCAATTTTTAAGAATTCATATTAGCGATTTAAAAAAAATCTATGCACGGCACTGGATTTACCACCCTTTAAAACGACACTATACTAAATTGTATTCAAAAATTTTAATTAAAAACGATTTTGTAGCCAAATTAAAAATGCACAATAATTACTATTTACAAAAATTTATTCTGTCAAGTTATCCATAAAAAAATATTGAAATCAAATTAAACTTATAGTATCATGGTATAAATATTCATATGCTTAGTTTTGAAAAATAAAAAAACGCAATATAAACTTAAAACAACAATGAAACAAAAAATAGAGAATTCCAAAAATTCTCTACAATTAGATTTTCGTCACCTTTACTAATCCACCATTCATTTCAATACACTTAATTTATTTTTTACGTACGTTAGTAGTTACCTTTCAAATTTGTTCTGGAGTAATGGCTGCGCAGGCTTGTATTACCCTAGCCCGTAGTTCCTGCGCAGGTTGTGGCTTTGATTTGTAAATCTTTTGTTTCAGTAAACCCAAAATAAAAAAAATCGAGTGTCGTCAAATCTGGGAATCTCGGCGGCCACTCAATCAAAGGACTGTTCCGCATTACAATTTTTATTTTCCATCTTTATTATTACACTTGGAAAACTAATAACTCTCCGACACCTTAACGTTTTTATTTTGACTATTAACTGTTTCATGGATAACTTAGGCCAATTGACTTTTAGAATAAATAATGTATTAAAATTTAAAAATGTTAATTTTTAAGAATTATTAGGTGTGTAAAATAAATGTTGGATTAGTAGAGGTAACGAAAATTCTCTATTTTTTGTTTCATTGTTGTTTGAAGTTTATATTGCGTTTTTTATTTTTCAAAACTAAGCATAAGAATAATTATAACATGTTAGTAACATGATGTTATTATTAGTTTAATTTTAGTTCAATGTTTGTTTCATGGATAACTTGACAGAATAAATTTTTGTAAATAGTAATTATTGTACATTTTTAATTTGGCTACAAAATCGTTCCTACTTAAAAATTTTCAATAAATTTAGTATGGGGTCGTTTTGAGGGGTGGTGAATCCAGTGCCGTGCTTATTTTTTTTTAATCGCTAATATGAATTTTTTTAAATTGACCAAATCTGGGGAAAGCCGTCTTAAAGTTAAAACTCTTCTTCCAGACTTGGGTAAAACTTACTAAAAATGTTTTATAAAGATTCTTGGGAAAATCTTATGTATATCGTATCTTATATATTTTCTTGCTCAATATTTGGTTTTATGGGATGATATCAATTATATTTAAATTTACTCAATATATGCATGTAACACGTTAAACACTCTTCGTCTGTGCTGCCGTCAAGCGCACTCGTCTGTTCTTTTTTCCTTAATTTTATATAATCATAAATATGTTAAATTAGGATTATGATTGTTTTATTTTAATTAAAGACTGCTTTTTAATTGTATAAAATAGTACTTAATATTTATTTATTTTTGTTTAAGGATTATTTTTATTTTATAAGAATCTTTTTATTTTTAATTTTTTTAATAGAAAACATTTTTATTGAAAGGCAAATAACATTTTCCTACTTTATACTTAATACACGTATTAAAAAGAATTAAGAATTTTTATCTTAACTGGATCATGTTTGTAAACTAAAACAATAATAATCCCTTAGCGTATTATATTCCATTTTGTTGTCATACACTGAGTGTACTATGCTCGCTGAGCGATTTAGCAATGTAATGCTGTTGTAAACCCCTCATCCCAAATTTGTCGAATATAGGAAATATGACATACCTGTATAAAATTCTGCAAAAGGGACTAAACAAATTAAAAACTGATATAAAGTTTATAATAAACAAATTTAATTTGGTGACCATGGTCACTAGCTAAAAGCTACAAGCTTAATTGCGGTACACTTTAGTCCCCGTATACCCAAAGCAACGTTTCCAAGTTTGCAACATTCAAAAAATGTATTATTTACTTAATATGTGGAAGAATTTTTATGCGTAAAATTACCCACCGCGCAAAATTCCCCCACCTTCCCCTAATAGATTTTATAAAAAATAAGGGTAAAACAAATTAATCCAAACTAAAGCTATTGTTAACAAATGATTTTTTCATTTTACCAGTATTTTATTATCTGGTTTTAAAAATAAAATAAAATATTACTTTTAATATTATTATTTTTATTATTAATATTTTTACCTAGAATAAATTGTTATATATTGTTATATAAATTGTATAATAACCTGCATTTTAGTACATTATTTTTAATTGTTTGTATTTGATTTTAAATTGTAGGGTGCCTCTATTGGGGAATTTGTTTATTTTAATGATAAAGATTCTTTATCTGTAAATAATTTTAAGCCAAAAATTGTGGATCCGTCATATGCCGATATTCTTCGTCCCAATTGTACAAACCAAAAGGATAAAAGAAATGGGAAAGATTCTACTATTTGTTATTGTCGTAAGTTATTTTATTAAAAACATATTTAATTAATAATAATTACTTATTTTCATTCAAGTAAATGTTTATTTAAAATTGTTTAAAACATCTTATTAATTAGAACAAATAGCTGAAGTTGTAGCGGGGGGTCCGAAAAGTAAATAACAAAAATTAGTATTTTAAATTAATATTTTCAGTACCTCCTTTAAGTACAATAGTACCCAAATCTGTTTTTTCTGTAGCCAACTCCAGGTCATACTTTTCTATCCACCTACAAATTTTCTTTAAAACCTCATTTACCTTAAGGATTAAGGGTTTAGAATCTACCATTACAAAGTTTTGCAAATGACCAGCAAATGAAAGTTTCACCACATCGGAATTTTTTCCCAGGCGAGAGTGTAGCCCCCACTCCTACATCGAAACTGTGATGTCAGGAGGCCGATCTGATCATCGTGCGCCTATTGTATTACATTGCTTTGCAACCCAAGTTATGGATTATTATTGCTTTAAAGGAGTATTTTTTACTGAATCGGTTGACAATGCAAATTCTATCAAAATAAACAGAACAATATGTACTAGGTAATTTATTGAAAACAAACAGAGAACAGCTATTAAAATAGTAATTTATTTAAAACAAACAGAACTGCACACAAAAAATAATTCTTTAATTTTAAAAAAACGATTGTTTCGGATTTGTTTATTTAAAATAAGTGTAGTGTAACTTTTATAATATGGAATAATAAATAATAAATTTGTTTAGTTTAATTTTATAAAGAAATTAGTTTAATTTATCTGTTACTATTAAGAAAAATTACTTTAATGAAATTTTCTTGTATTTAAATAATATTATAAAATATTATAGAAATTATACTGTGTTAAGTTTTAAAGTTTACTTTAAATAAATTAATATATTTATTTAAAAAAGGGAGTTTTCCACAAAACATAATATATTTGATTTGAGGATAATATTTTTGCGTAAACATAAAAATGTTGGTTATTTAATGTAAATGATTATTTTTTTGTGTATGCTCTTAAAATAGTAACTTATTTAAAACCAGTGCTGGATTAACCTATAGGCCAACCTAGGCCATGGCCTAGGGCGCCGCGAAGCCAATCAGGCAAAAGGCTCAATTTTTTTAAGTAGGTTGAATATTAAAATTAATCAATTAAAATAAATAATTATAATTATCAAACGTGTAATACCCATTTTTATTTTAAAAGCACATACTTATCTTTTTCTAAAAACGTTCAACGCAGTTGCCTAGTAGACGAGAAGACTTCGAATCTAGCTATTCTATCCATAGAAGCAGAAGAAGTCAATAGAATAAATTTTGAAAATATTATCGAGTCCTTTTCCGATTTTAAATTCAAGAAAAAAATTTGTAAATCGTCGTTGATAATGCGTCGTTTTACTTGTATTAATACCATAGGTTGTAATTATAGACGCCATTATTATTGGCGACAAATTGTCTTAATCCGGCCCTGTTTAAAACAAACATACCACTGTTATAAAAATAAAAAAAACGGTAAGCTACTGCAAAGTTTTTAGTTTCCGGGGCGCCTTAACATCTTGTTTTCTTGCAGCTATAACATTATTTCTTAATTTCTTGTAATAAGATAACAATACGTTACACATGATGCTAGTTATTTTTTATTACTTTACACTATCCCAGTTTTTAAACAACAAACTTTTAATTTCAAAGTGCCAAAAAGGCATTAAGTTAGCAGCATATTAGTGAGTGGCGGCTGGTGGATTTTGGGCACACCCATATCTCAGTTATTAGACATGGGATACACATCAAATTTATATGAGTTTATAATGACATTATTTAGACAAGTTCTGGGCAAGCAGAATTTAAATTAAAGTTTGCTAAAAAAAGTTTGTTTTTTATAGTGCACCCCCACCCTCCTTCCCCCCCAAATTAAGATGATTCAAATAAAAGTGGTGCAATTTATAATTCACTACAGGTTATTAAGAAATTTCAAAATTTATTTAAAAAGTCCAAGTATTGCAAATTTTATACCATTTCTATTTTTTTTTAATTTAGCGCGTTAGTAACATCGAGCCTGAGCTGTTCAAAAATGGCGATTAAATTTTCATTCCACTCGATTTTTGTTTTATCATTTTTACGTAAATTTTTAGTTAATTTGAACAAAATTGACTGTTTTTCCGCTGAGTGTGGAAGACTGCGGCGATAAAAATTGATCATGCCCAAAAGGGCTATTTGAAGCATGCAAACGGGGCAAATTATAGAAGTGTGTTTAAAAAAAATATTATAGGTAATTTATTATATAGTATTTTGGCATCAAAATTGTTAAATATATTCTTCTTTTATTAGGCTATACATAAAATAAAAGAAACATAAATAATATTTTTATAAAAGTAGAGATAATTTTAATAATTGACAAGAGAATTGTTTATCGACTGAATAAAAAAGGGGGCGGCAAAAGCTTCCTTTGTCCAGAGGGGCAAAAAAAACCTCGGGCCGGCTCTGACAATCGATAATTCGATATACTGCCTTGCATTACCGCAATAATACATTAATTTTCCTGTTGCCTGTTAGGAATGCAACGTTTTCTTAGTATTTTTTATTTATTTATAATGTTATTAAAGCAGCATATCAAGCAAAATCAATAGAAAAGCAATAGATAATTTATATCAAACTGACTTGTATTACCGCGATTATACATTAATTTGCTATTGCAGTCGGTCTCCTGACGTCACGCCTCCCACCACCACACTCCCGCCTAGGATAGAGTACGCCGTACTTTCACTCCTTCATCTTTAGAAGAAGATTCTTCTTAATATTGCATCATAGATAATAATATTCCAGAGAGATGATCCTTGGGGTACCTCACCTGCCATTTCACTCTAAATTTCTCCCAACTGAATTATCCTCTTAACTTTTAATCATATTAATTAGGTATCTCGGTATATCTAGTGCGTATCCCTTCCTTAATGTAACTCTATGTGGAAGTATTAAATGCCAGAAACTTTTCGAACAGAATTTTTATAAATAATACTGCCATATCCTAAATGTAGTTAATGAAAGGTTTGTCAGGTTGGAAACATGATTGTTACAAATTTTTATTATTATTTACCCCGCTTAACTGCGATGTTTTAAAGTAATAATAGTGACAACTGTTTACTTGACAAACTGTGTTAATTTAAACAAAAAGATATCTGTTTATATTTTTTTAGCATTTCAATAAAAAACCTTCGCTTAGTCTATAAAGGTAGAGATTTCTAAAATTTAGGAATCATTGAACCATTCCTTGACTTTGTCTTTTAAGTGATTAGGTACCTACATGTTTTTTTAGGTTTTATTTTTTTGAAAGATAAACATTTCACGGAAAGTACCTATTTAATTAACCTTCAGCTAGATGATACAAATTATAAAGGAAAAAAAAGGCAACCTGTAAGTACTGTATATAAATTGTTTATTAATATAAAAGTTAATTTATATATTTACAGGCAAAAGCCTTAGTAAGTTTTAATTTTAAAAGATCTGCTGCCAATTTGAAAAACCACCCAAGAAAGCTTTATCCTGCAAAAGACGTCAAAGTGTTCAGGTATTTATGTTTGCATTTTATACATTGCATGATTTTATATTTTGCTAAAATAGCAAATACTAGCTATATATGAAAAATAAAAACACATTTAACTCCTTTTCAGCCAGAATAAATTTTACTTTCAAAAACAAGTGAACAATACAAATCTAAAAAAGATACTTTCTATACTTTATTTTTGTTTTGTCATTTTAAATGGAACGCATATTCATTATTCAAAAAAAGATCATCATAAATTTTAATTTTTAACATTTAAAACAGATGCCCTCTTTAGTAAATTTAATTAAGAGACAGATCTTTTGTTCCGTTTAATCCATAACTAACACGAATCATTATTGCCTCACCATTTAACAATTTCTGTTACGTAAACCACCCACATAATTTTGTGAAAATTTAACAGAGATAACTTTGCTAATGATTTTTTTTTGATTTCCTATTAAAGGACTGCAGGACCATTAGCTAGAATAACTCAACCAACGGATTTAACAGGATGTGGCCACTTTTCTCTAAAAACTGAAACAAAGTTAAATGACATTTTTAACATTACCAAAGAGGGAATTGTATTCGTTCACGATGTTGCAAACTTGAGAAAAGCTCCGGAGTTTGTTAAGTTAGTAAATATTTTTTAAGTTTTACACGATACGGGGTTCAATAATGAAAAGTGTATATGTAATAAAACGGCAACGGCATAAATTTATATTTAGAGTTTATGAAATTACCTATACCTCCTGTAATATTGTTTTAGTTTAAATATTTCATGGATAAAAAATAATAAATTAGATTTTGATGAAGTATCCATTAGAATTGTGGAGGAATCTTCAAAAAGTTGTGAAAAAATGGGAACAAAAATTAGTGATTGGAGCTATTGTTCAAAAAGTGATAATGCACATGATTGTCTAAGACCGAATTACTGTGCTATTGGGACTGGGGGTTCCGCTAGTGTAAAAAATAGGTAAGTTGATTTAAATATTTTTAAAGCTATCGTAAATAAATTCTATGTGATAAGTTAGAAAAACCAGTATGTGATCATTAGGGATGGGATTTTAGTTATTTTACCTTTTTTCAACCGATGCAACTATTTGAAAACCAATAATGCCAAAATTTGTTTTAAAAGATTTTCTTTTATATTAGGTACCCAAGTAACATTTTTAGTTTTATTATGGTCTTCAAGAACGCTTTAAAACAAAAAATAAATTCCTTTATTAAAACGCTTTACTCTTATAGACCTCCTGAAGATATCCTCGCAACCTTAATAAGCTAAAAAAGGCGCATCTTATTAAGGTTCAATTGCATCGCCTATTTTAAAACCAAAAAATATTTTTAAAAATTATCCTAGAGTATTCTTAAAGGTAACTTAAAAAGTCAAAATAGGTTTAAAGCGTACATAAAGAAAGCTTTAAGACTACAACAAAACCAATTAGTTTTAAGATATACTTTTAAATGACCACATTAAAACCAGGTTTTTTGGTATAATTATACGAAGACTTAAAAAGGTACTCAGGGCTTCTATAAAACTTATGTGAAGATAATATTAAACCCTTTTTAAGACAAAATAGAATGTAATAAGAGGAACTGGACTTAAAGATGGATTATATTGGTTTTAATAATTATAGTATAATGAATACTTATTTTATTAATGTCTTATGCAGGTATTATAATATATTATATTTGTATGACCTTAAGTTATTGTCTACGACGATTTGTTGTTTAAGATTTATAATATAATAATATGTTAGTTATTATATTTAATAGTATGAGTATTAGTCTGGCCAAAATATTAAACGCAATTTTTTTTATTGACTAAACACTATAAAATAGCTTCAAAAAATACATGCGCTTTACAGTTAACGTAAATTTAAACATTTTTTTTTAAATATTTTATTATATATTTTAAGCTGATTCCGTTACATGCACTGTGGGATAAAATAATTTTTGATATGTTTTGCGATAGAAACAAAATTACTAAAACAAACTTTGACCCGATAATAAAAATTTAACAACTCAGATATCTTGGGTGTATATATCGATGGGTTTAAGGCAAAACGGCACAAGCGCCAAACTTTTCGAAAATTTGTTGGTACAGGTCGATAGAGAATTAAATTCTCACACCCCATGTGTTTATTTACCAATCACTGGGCGAGTACAAGGCTGATCCTTGATCTTGCTCACTTCCCAGTTCTTAATGAATAATGATGAGTTACCAAATAAAACCAAATGGAATTCGTTTTGGAACTGATTTATTATTAAAACTATTGATTTATATATATTTCTAAATTGTGACGTGTTTAGGAATAAAAACAGTGGTACAAAAAATGTTAATTAATTACATGTAAATATAAAAACGATTAATATTAAATATGTTGATATTGTTTTAGACACTCTGGCGGTCGCTTGGTAGTGAAATGCAGCGTAAGGGATCTTCGTTCGATCACCTGTCGCTAGATGCAAACATTGCATTTCCTAAGCAATTCGCCAATTATTGCAATAAACTATAGTATTTAATATTTTAAATAAAATTAAAAACTAGATTTTATTGAATAATTTTTCTGTTAAATCTGTGATTTAACATATTGGCGACTCCACAAGAGATTGGGAGTTGGTGGTCTCTGTTTAATCTTGTGATTAAACATAATTGCGACTCCACAAGAGATTGGAAGCTGGTGGTTCGACGGACCAATGATTGTTGCCGCTTCCTGGACTGTGCTACCAAGGGGGTGGTGGTTCAATGTTTGTGGCCGCTTCCTGGACTGTGCTACCAAGGGGGCTGGTGGTTCAATGTTTGTGGCCGCTTCCTGGACTGTGCTACCAAGGGGCTGGTGGTTCGAAGGGGTCGTAAATCCCTGTTGTGTTGATCCCTACGTCGCTTGTTTGGGCGTAGGTCACTTGTTTGATAAGATTCGTTGAGCCATTGCCATAAGTACCTGGTTGTACTCTGTCTTCAGCTGTTGAAACTGGTCGTGCAAGGGATTCATGGACTCATCTGCGTGATTTACTCTAACTTCCATGTGAAGATTAGATACCATATCCCACTGCTTCCGAATGTTCAAAGGGGTCGTAAATCCCTTTTATGTTGATGGCTGGGTGCCTACGTCGCTTGTCTGGGCGTAGGTCACTTGTTTGATAATTCCTGGACTGGAGCTATCAAGGGCTGGTTGTTCGAAGGACCATGTTTATTCACCACTTCCTGGACTGTGCTACCAAGGAGGCTGGTGGTTCGAAGGGGTCGTAAATCCCTGTTGTGTTGTTGGCTGGATGCCTGTAGATCCCTACATCGCTTGTTTGGGCGTAGGTCACTTGTTTGATAATTCCTGGACTGGAGCTATCAAGGGCTGGTTGTTCGAAGGACCATGTTTATTCACCATTCACTGGGCGAGTACAAGGCTGATCCTTGATCTTGCTCACTTCCCAGTTCTTAATGAATAATGATGAGATACCAAATAAAACCAAATGGAATTCGTTTTGGCACTGATTTTTATTAAAAACTTATTGAGTTATATACAAATTTACAATATAAACAAAACAGTAGTTCTAAACATTTTAAAGATAAAGCAATATATAAATTACATAACAATAACAAAAACACATGGTTCTTTGTTGTGGAACTGCTGGTTGCCGTAATTGGTGCACTGCTGCGTAAGGTGTTCTCGTTTAATTACCTGCTACTAAACGCAACTTTGCACATTCCTGCATTTTTGGTAGTAACCCTTTTTTAAACTCAAATTCTATTAATAACTTTTTCTGTTTAATTTTTAATTAAACATATTGGCGACTCCACAACAGATTGGGAGTTGGTGGTATCTGTTTAATCTTGTGATTAAACATATTGGCGACTCCACAAGAGACATTGTGGTTCGTTGAGCCATTGCCATAAGTACCTGGTTGTACTCTGTATTTGCCGCTTCCTGGACTGTGCTACCGAGGGGGCTGGTGGTTCAATGTTTGTTGCCGCTTCCTGGACTGTGCTACCAAGGGGCTGGTGGTTCAATGTTTGTTGCCGCTTCCTGGACGGTGCTACCAAGGGGGCTGGTGGTTCAATGTTTGTGGCCGCTTCCTGGACTGTGCTATCAAGGGGCTAGTGTTCGAAGGACCATGTTTATTGCCGCTTCCTGGACTATGCTACCAAAGGGCCTGAAACTGGTCGTGCAAGGGGTTCATGGACTCATCTGCGTGATTTACTCTATCTTCCATGTGAAGATTAGATACCATATCCCACTGCTTCCGAATGTTTGTTGCCGCTTCCTGGACTGTGCTACCAAGGGGCTGGTGGTTCGAAGGGGTCGTAAATCCCTGTTGCTCGAAGGACCAATGTTTATTGCCGCTTCCTGGACTGTGCTACCAAGGGGCTGTAGATCCCTACGTCGCTTGTTTGGGCGTAGGTCACTTGTTTGATAATTCCTGGACTGGAGCTATTAAGGGCTGGTTGTTCGAAGGACCATGTTTATTGCCGCTTCCTGGACTGTGCTACCAAGGCTTCAGCTGTTGAAACTGGTCGTGCAAGGGATTCATGGACTCATCTCTAACTCTAACTTCCATGTGAAGATTAGATACCATATCCCACTGCTTCCGAATGTTCAAAGGGGTCGTAAATCCCTTTTATGTTGATGGCTGGGTGCCTACGTCGCTTGTCTGGGCGTAGGTCACTTGTTTGATATTCCTGGACTGGAGCTATCAAGGGCTGGTTGCTCGAAGGACCATGTTTATTGCCGCTTCCTGGACTGTGCTACCAAGGCTTCAGCTGTTGAAACTGGTCGTGCAAGGGATTCATGGACTCATCTGCGTGATTTACTCTAACTTCCATGTGAAGATTAGATACCATATCCCACTGCTTCCGAATGTTCAAAGGGGTCGTAAATCCCTTTTATGTTGATGGCTGGGTGCCTACGTCGCTTGTCTGGGCGTAGGTCACTTGTTTGATAATTCCTGGACTGGAGCTATCAAGGGCTGGTTGTTCGAAGGACCATGTTTATTCACCAATCACTGGGCGAGTACAAGGCTGATCCTTGATCTTGCTCACTTCCCAGTTCTTAATGAATAATGATGAGTTACCAAATAAAACCAAATGGAATTCGTTTTGGAACTGATTTATTATTTAAACTATTGATTTATATATATTTCTAAATTGTGACGTGTTTAGGAATAAAAGCAGTGGTACAAAAAATGTTAATTAATTACATGTAAATATAAAAACGATTAATATTAAATATGTTGATATTGTTTTAGACACTCTGGCGGTCGCTTGGTAGTGAAATGCAGCGTAAGGGATCTTCGTTCGATCACCTGTCGCTAGATGCAAACATTGCATTTCCTAAGAAATTCGCCAATAATTATTATTGCAATAAACTATAGTATTTAACATTTTAAATTAAATTAAAAACTAGATTTTATTGAATAATTTTTCTGTTAAATCTGTGATTTAACATATTGGCGACTCCACAAGAGATTGGGAGTTGGTGGTCTCTGTTTAATCTTGTGATTAAACACCATGTGATACGTCGTTAAAAAGGTCTCGATGAAAGGGACAACTTTTGGTTTATACATAATACCCCTATCTAGCATTATAAGGGCAGAAAAGCAAAAAACCGTTTTATCACAAGGGGGCAGGGGCACGGTTGGACGAACAGTCCCATATAGAGCTATAATGAAGCAATCCTGTACAATTTTGTGTCAATACGTGTTAAAGTTTTTGAGAAAAATGAGCAGACAGTTTTGGGACGGACAGACAGACAGACCGACATTTTGGTTTTTTTTTTATTTATTGGGTGAGTCATGAAACGTGAAAATTTAAAGAAAACTGGGAGGGTGAAATTTTCATGATTACCATAAGTTTACCTTGTGGGGAAACTTAAAAACACCGGAACCATTTATAAATAATTTTTTAGTTATCTAAAACAAACTCTATAGAGTATATATACAAATGTTAAACCTTATACACGGAAAAAAATAATCGGTAGAGGCTACCGATTGCCAATCGGTAGACTCTACCGAAAAAATCGGTAGACTCTACCGAAAAAATCGGTAGTCTCTACCGAAAAAAAATCGGTTCCCTCAACCGATTTTTATCGGTAGTAGCTACCGATTATTTTTCGGTAGAGTCTACCGATTTTTTCGGTAGCCGTAACCGAGAAAGAAACCATTTTTCTTTAATAAGGACTTAAAAAGGTTTTTATTTAAATTTCATATATCTTCATAAAACCTTTTTAAGTCAAAGGGGGTTTATTCTTCGCGCCAATATACCTATTTCTTTACTATTGTTAGAGCCAGAGATGGTTGGATTAAGCTCATAGAGTATAGTTAAATTAAATAGGTATTTAAGATGGTTTTTAAAATAGTTCAAACTTGTGAAGATGGACAAATGTGCTCGTTCCGAGTAAATGGGAAGAGCGTGGAATGTTGTTCTGGCCAAAGAAAAAAGTTTTGGTCGCAAAACTTCAAAAAATAGTAACCTCAATTTTCTATAAAAATGTCCACTTCTTGTTTTACGAAGAAAATCGTCTATGAATGTAGACATTTTATGTACGTACGACACTACGACAATCGTGGAACTAATAGTTTATAAATTATAGTTCCAGCTGTTTAAATACTTATAAGGGTTTTATTCAAATAAAAAAAGTTTTATTAAGTATTTTAAAATTTAAAAGCAAGAGCATTATAAGACAGAGCTTTAATAAGGGTTCCTTAAAATCAAGATAGTTTTAAAAGTACCTTGCTTAAACTGACTACAAGAACGCTTTAAAACTAAAAATTAAAGCTATCATGCTTTTATTTGTCAATCATAAAACAATAATGAAACAATACTGCTTTTAGAAGTATCTTAAGATAATTTAACCTTATTAAGGTTAAACTTAAGTCCAAATAAAGTCATTTTAAAGAGTAAATACTCTTGAAAGCCATAAGTTTTTAAATAGGAGTTCTTTAAGATAGCTATAAAACCTTTTTTTAAAACCATCTTCTCCCAAGTATAATTGACATTTATGAGAACCTTTTTAAAACTGTTTGCATTATTTCCGCTATAATAAAACCGTTTTAAAACCAATTCAAGTCAATTTTGCATTTAAAATGTTACTTGGGTAACCTAACTTGTTTTCACCTTTTTTACCTTTTTTGCAAGTTTTTGCTTTAAACTACCTTTTTATACTTTTGTTACATATTTTTTAATTTGTCAGTTTATTTTCACCTATTTGTTTTCTATTATTACGTATTTTTACTTATTTTATTTTTTTGTGTTCTTTTTAAATTTTGCCCCAATATTTTATCCAGGGCGTGCAACTCAACGGTATAAATTTTTTTCTTATGGTCACAGACTGTAACAGTAACTTTCTTTACAGTTACCTTTGTAGAGAGCTTATGTTCTGTCATAGAACTTCTGTGAAGTGAGTGTCACTCAGTGAAACACAGTTTATTGCATAGAAATAGTTTATTGTGGGTATGTTCTGTATTTGGGTATGCGGCTAAACAAAACTATAAACGAAATGTGAACTTTTAATGTTTTTTTTACCTAAAATGCTGTTTTTCTAACCTAAAATGCTTTTTTTTAGTACCTTTTTAGTTACCTATTTTTCAGTTTTTAGTACCTAAATATCCCATCCCTAGTGATCATATATACTATAATAAATGAAATAGGAATTTTTTAATTTAATAATATACGTTTTTTGAGTTAAAAAAACCTATAGGTATATTATAATTATTTATGTACCAAGGGTATTTAGTAGATGTTGATTTCCTGAGGGCGAAGATTTTATAAACCCGAGGGCCTCTGGTTTTTAATTGTATGCACACACGCTGATTAATTTCCAGTAACAATAGCCAGTGGCGTGCAGGACGGGCCCCGCAGGGCCCGCGGTGCGGGGGGGCCCCCGACCTTAGGGGGGCCCCGTAGAGAACCACATTGGGTGGTATAAGTGACAAAGGGGCCCCAGCTCAAAATTTGCGGGGGGGGGGGGGCGATCACCTTTGCACGCTACTGACAATAGCCCTATAGTGATAGAACATACCCCAATATAAAAACTAAAAATAAGATATTTTTGTCATCCACTTGGCCTAAGATGACCCATATATTTTATTAGTTAATATTATTATATAATTAAATCTTAATAGTATATTATGTATCAAGTTTTATAAACGACATTTCAGTTATGAGTTTTATTTTGCACGAGCGAAGCTTGCGAGCGAGTGTTTAATAAAAATGAGTGTCTATGGATGTTTATAAAAAGACAAACAGAAATAAGAATTTAAAGCCAATTTTAATTCATAAATTTGACATCTGACGAATTTAACCTCACTTTTTCACTTCAGCCCGTGACTAAAATGCCCAAAAGCCCCTGTTGTTAACTTCAGCCCATGACTAAAACGCGATAAAGTCACAGCTCGCCAATGTAGGATTAAATAAAAATCATTATAAACTTAATATTAAATGTATTTTATTAAAGTGTAATAAAAATCATGTATTTTTTCTTGCAATAGATAATATAATTTTATTTGGTTATAAAAGTTTTGCTTCATCCATTTTTAGTAATATATATTCAAAACATTTGCTAATTTTCTATTTTTGTTTCCTAGGATGTACCAATAAAGTGCTCCTAACTAAATATTTGTACACTTTTTTGCAGAAACAACTCGGAACGCTGCATGTGGCGCGGAGACAAAAATCCAGGAAACGAGGATACTCATGTTTACGCAACATGTACTCCTGACTCATCCACATGTCCTGATGGAATTTGCGATTCCTTAGAGAAACAGCATCGACATATTTGCCCTCAAGATTGTACACGTAAGTCCAACTGCTGTTATCTGCTTATTAAAAAAGGTCGCAGTTCAAATACAATTCTGGATTCAAATATGAAATCTTTAAATTTTATAAACGAAAATCATGTCTGCATGAACATAACATGCAAATTACAGAGTTCAATTCCTTAAGGTTTTTTTACTTTTATGTGATAAACGTTATTGTAGTAAATATATTACTAGAATAAAAGTATAAAAGTAGTAAGCGTCTCGATTTTGTTTGACAAGTATCCTCCGGATCAACCGCAATATCCCAATAAACTAAAATCAGGGCAAGCGCACTTAGTGTGTCGTGGCCCATTATACTTCGTAGTGGATCAACTTGAAGGAATGAATTGGCTTTAACAACACAATCTTTTTGACACCCCTTATCCATATAATTTAATATAAACTGAAAACTTCCGACGCCCTCTTCCAATTAAGAAAACTATCGGTGACTAATTTTTCTGGATTATGATAACCTCCTCTCGAAAGGTATTCGCATGTGGCGGTACTTTTGACTTAAAATAAAAGAATGAAATTTACCAATGACAAAAGCTTAAATCAAAATTATTGGATGTTCTATGAGACATGGAAAATGATTTGCGTGGAAAATATTGCCAACTTCTTAAGATTTTAATTAACCAAAATTCCCTAACTTTAGGAACTTCGTTTTAAGTAATTAGGGTCCACTATTTTACGATATTACTTCTAAATTGCTTTTAAACTTAAGTCAAAAATTCACATTTATTACTTGGATGAAAATACTTTTTTATAGAAAAGCACAAATTTGCTAAAGCCCCTTGGGCCACCTGTTAAAGTTAATTAGATAAAAAACTCAACGTTATGACATATTTATTATATATGTATTTATATTTATGGCTAAATAGTTGGTATTTCTTAAAGGTAATGCTTTGTTTCCAACATCTTTGTCAAAAAGCGGATACGGTATTGATAAAGCGAATGGAGTTTGTACTTGCGACGATATTGGGCACTGCAAGTGTGACCCTCCACGAAAAAAGAAAAAGAAAACTACCGCCATTCCACCAGTTTTACCCACCAAAGGAAATTTTGTAACATCGCATATTGAAACAAGTAAGTTTTAAGAAATAACAATTTTAGTTGGGTAATTTTAGATCTAAGGCTTTCACGGCCGCAATAAATGATAAAAAGTACATTTCCAGTTAGACCGTTTTAGGTAAATATTTCTATCCGACTATACGTCTTCTAATGCCAGACATCCTCAGGAAACAAACTAAAAACCTCCACTGAGTTTCAGTTTGTTCGGTTAAGATGTCTCTTCTCATGATTATTTGTTTATAGCAATATTTTTGCATTTAATTACTACTTAAATAGTCATAATTGACACATTAAAAAAATAATTAAAATTAATATTGTATATTGTAGGCTCTAGTTCCTTAACTGTAGGATATAATTCGATAAAACAAACTATATTGTTAAGGTGATTTAAATGCAATTTAAAATTTTCTATATAACAAAGTATTAAATAGATAATTATAAAACCCACAAAAAAATTAAACGAAAAGAGGTCTGAATATTAAAGGCATTTTTGTACAATTGTTTACTTACTTACTAAAGGGTTGAATTTGTAAACTCATTGTTTCCATTATTTTAAACTAAGGATAAGGTCATAAAAATAAGGTATAAGTCGCGTCTCTGCTCGGTCGTCCGGACGCGTCTCATCCAAAGAACTATTTTTTTAATCTTCGGCAAACGTGCTGACTTGATTTTTGAGGGATCTATCATCAGTCGCGTAACTAGGCTGGGAAGCCGGGGAACCGCCCTGGGGCCCCTGGGGTTGGGGCCCCTAAAACTGGGGATGTAAATTTTGTTTAATGTTTTCAGCAAAAAAATTATACAGAGGTATACATAAGCCCGCAGCGCTGACTACTACACCACTAAGGGTTGCAATATTTCATTCGTAATAATACGTTCTACTTTATCGGTATAATAATACAATATCGATTAAGTAGAACGCGCCATTACCAATAGTATGATATTTTATTATTTTGTCGCGGTTTTTATGTTCTCAAATAAAAAAGTTTTTTATAGAAGTTAGGCATCAGTGATTATAAACGGTAAGTCAAAAATCAAAACAAAACAATTCATAAGTAGTTTTTCTAAAACTATTTTAAAAAATAAACATTCTGACATTTTTTATAAATATGGAATAATTACACATCTTAAAAGAATCTTATTATAATTAATTTTACCTAATAATTAGTTATAAACGAGTGAAACAGACTTAGTAAAAATTAAAACCTGGACCTCCCGATTCGTTCCATATTCCATCGGCATTTATTTACTATATTCTACATAAATAAATAATTACTACTTAAATAGTCATAATTGACATATTAAAAAAATAATTAAAATTAATATTGTATATTGTAGGCTCTAGTTCCTTAACTGTAGGATATAATTCGATAAAACAAACTATATTGTTAAGGTGATTTAAATGCAATTTAAAATTTTCTATATAACAAAGTATTAAATAGATAATTATAAAACCCACAAAAAAATTAAACGAAAAGAGGTCTGAATATTAAAGGCATTTTTGTACAATTGTTTACTTACTTACTAAAGGGTTGAATTTGTAAACTCATTGTTTCCATTATTTTAAACTAAGGATAAGGTCATAAAAATAAGGTATAAGTCGCGTCTCTGCTCGGTCGTCCGGACGCGTCTCATCCAAAGAACTATTTTTTTAATCTTCGGCAAACGTGCTGACTTGATTTTTGAGGGATCTATCATCAGTCGCGTAACTAGGCTGGGAAGCCGGGGAACCGCCCTGGGGCCCCTGGAGTTGGGGCCCCTAAAACTGGGGATGTAAATTTTGTTTAATGTTTTCAGCAAAAAAATTATACAGAGGTATACATAAGCCCGCAGCGCTGACTACTACACCACTAAGGGTTGCAATATTTCATTCGTAATAATACGTTCTACTTTATCGGTATAATAATACAATATCGATTAAGTAGAACGCGCCATTACCAATAGTATGATATTTTATTATTTTGTCGCGGTTTTTATGTTCTCAAATAAAAAAGTTTTTTTATAGAAGTTAGGCATCAGTGATTATAAACGGTAAGTCAAAAATCAAAACAAAACAATTCATAAGTAGTTTTTCTAAAACTATTTTAAAAAATAAACATTCTGACATTTTTTATAAATATGGAATAATTACACATCTTAAAAGAATCTTATTATAATTAATTTTACCTAATAATTAGTTATAAACGAGTGAAACAGACTTAGTAAAAATTAAAACCTGGACCTCCCGATTCGTTCCATATTCCATCGGCATTTATTTACTATATTCTACATAAATAAATAAACTGTTTAAAACAAATGTATTAAACAGTTTGTTTGTTTTAAACTTGTTTTTTTTAACATGTTTTTAACTGTATTTTTACCAATTTAAGTTCAAAAATGGGCACACAATTTTGCTCATTATTTTGTTTTTTAAACAGGTTTTAAAACGTTTTATAAAATATGTTTTTTAAACATTTGTTTTTCAATTTTACCCCGTGGCCCCTACACGCCTAGTTACGCCCCTGTATAACATTAATCAAAAGACGAGGGGAGACGATACTAGCTGCAACCCTGAGCGCCTACAGGGGGCGAGAGGGGGTAGTTGCCCACCTCCTGTAAAATTAAAACAAAATACAAAAGCGAATTTAAATCTCATTCAAATATTTAAACAAAGATACTTGAAATTGCACCTATTTTTTTGACCCCTCCCCTGGAGTATCTTCTGCCGGCGCGGCGCCCAGGGCTGCAACGAAGTAACCATAATCAGCTATCCTGTGGAATTCCGGTTTCGACCCGTAAAAAAGCTCTAAATTTACAAACATTAATTGGTTAGGTTAAGTATGACTGACAAAACACAGTTAAAAATAACAAGATAAAATCCTAAAGTGCTCTGTAATATGAAAAGCCATAACTTAAGCATTAAATTACAGGTCCGGGTAACGCAAAGCACTCCATTCAGATTCCAGTGCTGGCCAAATGTGGAACATCATGTGTGTTGGGTATTGTTGCAGGAACTCTGTTCCTTGTGGGAGCAGTTTCTCTGGTGGTGATTTGTTGGCGACTCGACAGGGTAAACAAAGCCGTAAGGGGAAAGTACAGCGATGAAAATCAGGATATGACAGCTCCGCTTTCAGATTATGTAGATAGAAACAATCGGTCTGAAATTATGAATCTGAATTTTCAGATGACTACATCTTTAGCCGAAATAACCACCAGAAATGTTATCAATAAATATCCAGTAAGTTTCATTTAAACTAAATCACATTTTTACAATTTTAAATTAGTTGATTTTACAAATATATAAAAACATAAAACGTATTTTACTAATATTGTTTTAGTGGAGTAACATAATTTAATATAATAACACATTAATAATGTGGCCTTATACAGTAAATAATAATATACGTGAATATACACAACCATGATAAAACTTTAATAAAAACAATTTATCAAAAGAATTTCATTTGAAAAGCTATTTTTTGATTGATGAATTTACTGATTTATTAACAAAACAAATAAATAATTTTTGTGGTTTGAAAAAACAATATATTCATGTATAAATATAATTACACTGCTCAACGCATGTTTGGAAGCCTCTCATTTTTTGAATAAAACATTAATCATTAATCGTGATTAACAATTATTGTTGTAATTTATTATTCCTTGGACATTAGTTTACAATAAGTGAGAGAAATTTAATCCTACTTCAATAGTTATCTTTAATAATAGCAAAAAACTAAGACCCTTTAAATCTTTTCTCTATTCTTGGCCATTTAGCAAATTTTAAAAAAGAATTGTAGAAGTTTTTGGTACAAGTAAATACGTTCTCTTAGCGAAGTCCAAGTAGCAATGGCCGTTTCTTTACTTGCGAATGGACGTTTGATGCCCTACGCACAATCATAACATAATTGTGTGGATTGTGGCCCTACGTAGCAAATGAACTCCAGGCTAGTCCCTCCGTTATCTGCAGACTTTGGCACAAATACCAAAGAACTGGAACACCACCCTCTAAAAATGAATTAGTCAAAAATGACTAATTGAGGAGCATCCGTGCAAAACCGGATAATTCCATTTTATTCAGTTTTTGGTTTTTTTTTGATTTCGCATCTTTAGGTTCATTTCTATCGACAACCAAGATAATTCTGTTTAAATCCGACTAAATCCATGTTAAAATCACATTTAAAAGGTAGCTTTAGGAGCAAAACCGGCCAAATCCACGTTTTTATAGCAAACCCGGCTATATCCAATAAATAATAATATGTGGCTTGGATATGTCGATACTACTACTAAAATTTGTTCTGTTTTTTCATGTTTGCTCTAAATTTATTTTGTTAATATTTTTGAATAATAAAGGTTTTTTTTCACATTTTATTCGTTTTTTATTCGGTTTTCGAGCAAAACCGGGTATATACAAAACATTTTTTGAAATTTTGGCCTTAATATAAAGTTTTTGAAAACGAAAGTATGTCTTATAAATCAAGTAGCACAAAGCCCACAAAACTCAAGTTTTTTCTTTTATCTGTAAAGGCCAGGAAACCGAAACGGCAAGGAGATTTCTGATCAAACTATTTGAACAAAGGGTCCAAGTGCAAAAATATTTGATTTGCGATAAACAGCTTCCCGTAATTATCCCAGTGGCGGTTTTCTATAGGAGCACATGACCACGTGCACTTTCATACAGAATTCAAAAGTTATAATAAAATGTTTAATTTGTAGATTATGTTATTTTTTGAAAAGCGCCTTAATAATTATCGCACGTGCGATGATTTAGGCGGAGCTTGTGTAGTTTCTCTCTATATTCTTAGCATGCTGGTGGCGGGAGAATCGCGAATTTTAATGGGAAAACGCGCACACATTTAGTGTGCTCTAAAACACCGGTGCGAACTTGTTAGCCACCATCTAGCATCCTAATCTCCGGAAACAGCCGAATTACCAATTGCATTCGTTATAACTATGCAACGTTGCCTGATTTGTAAGAAAACACAATTTAATCTTAAATCAGCTAAAAAACAACAATACGAAAATACCTTCTGCTGCAAGCCCTAACCAATAATCGAAATTTTTTCCAAATGGAAATAATTAAAAAATTTGAGGTTATGTACCTGGGTGTAAATAATTTATTTCTATATATTAAGAGAATATTATGTGAACGTTTACATTTACTATGGCTTAAGTGGGTTTTAAAAATGTATCAATAATTTACACAAGTAAAAATCTACCCTTAAAATTATTTTTACGCAGACTTCTAGGGAAATAAATGGCCCGTCACATTAAAAACATCAAAATAAATAAAATAAACTTTTTCACAATTATTTCAAAAGGCGCTAAGGGGTAATAATTCATCATTAAAGTAATTTTTACGCAGCATGCTTGATGAAATTAATATTAATAAAATAAACTGGTAAAATCCACCCTTAAAATAATTTTTACGCAGGCTGCTAGAAAAGGAAAAGGCCTAGCACAGTGCTAGGCCAGTATTGCCAGATTTAGGCCTAAAATATCCCTAACAAGGTAGGCCCTTGATTTTAATTATTGGGTTTATTTCTCCAGGCGCTTTATGACTCGTAAAAAGATTATGTTCGTACACACTATAGTCGTGTGTGTACGAACATATATTTTTACGAGTCAAAAAGCGCCTGGAGAAATAAACCTAATGATTAAAATCAAGGGCCTACCTTGTTAGGGATATTTTAGGCCTAAATCTGGCAACAGTAGTAGTAGCACTTTTATATTTTGTACAAATGTTATTATTATCGATAAAAAGCAAATCATTAACATTTCAAGATATTATAAAAGTGACAGGTTGTAAGGGTGGATTTTTACCTGTTAGCCCCTTCTGAAATCATTGCGGTAAAGTTTATTTCATTTTTATCGCTTTTATTAAAAATTAAAAAATATATATAAAGGAGACAGGCCGTCTCGTTCTCTAGAAGCCTGCGTAAAAATATTTTAAGGGTGTACTTTTACCCCTTAACCCCTTCTGCAATTATTGCGGTATGGTTTATTTTATTTATATGGATATTATTAAAAAGTGTACAAAATAATAAAGTGACAGGCCATTTCCTTATCTAGCAGCCTTCGTAAAAGTTATTCTAAATGTGGTTTTTAATCCCTTAGCTACTTTTGAAATCATTGCGGTATAGTTTATGTTATTTCTATTGAAATTATTAACATTTGTACAAAATATAAAAGTGACAGGTCATTTCGTTCTCTAGCACCCTGCGTAAAAATTATTTTAAGGATGGATTTTTACCCTTTAGCCCCTTCTAAAATGATTGCGGCATGGTTTATTTTATTTTTATTGATGTTATTAACAACCCAGTAAGCACAAGCTAGCCGGCCCGCATACGGCCCGAATACGTTTTGCCGAATCGGCCGCGTGCTGCCCGACACATGTATTTGTTCCGGCGTGTAGACCGGGCATGTCCGCCTTGCCGAATGTCGGCTATGTTTACTCGGCCGAGTGCCGGCCACAACAGCCTGGGAAATTAAAAAATTGCCTTCAGACGTCCTGGATAGGTATATCCTATAGGTTTAACACACTCGCCATTATTCGTTACTGAGCAGATGAGGATGGAAAAGGGACATGTCCATTTTAGCGATTTGCAGAAACAAGTCAAAAATAACAGAATTCTTTTGCTTTTGACTTATTTCTGCAAATCGCTAAAATGGACATGTCCCTTTTTGAATAAACGCTCCTCAATTAATGTTCAGCTATACCATTACAGACGCACACTTTCAACTAAATATTGCAACCTATCGCTTTTTATAGTTAGCTCGCTTGCGTAAGCAGCCGTGAGATGTATTGCTTATGCTGTGGCAGGCCGTAAGCGGGCCGGCTAGGGCAAGCCGAACGATTTTGCAGTGGCATGCCGTATTCTGGCCGACTTTGGTTAGAACATGGCCAAACGGGCTAACATAACGCGGGCCATAAGCGGAACGACTAGGGGCAAGCCGAACCGCCGGTCAACCGCCTATGCCGAGCGAAGGCCGACTTGTATTAGATATAAAGATAACAGGACATTTCCTTCTTTAGAAGCATGCGTAAAAGTTATTTTAAGGGTGGTTTTTCACTCCTTAGCTCCTTCTAAAATTATTTTAAGTTTTTTTTTATTTATAGGTATTGATATTTTTAACAATTTTACAAAAAATAAAGACTTAGTTACGGGCCATTTTCTTTCCTGGTATACCACTATAGACTATAGTCAGCGTAAAAATAATTTTAAGGGTAGATTTTTACTTCTGTAAATTATTGAGACATTTTTAAAACCGACTTAAGCCAAAGTAAATGTAAGCAATAAGAATTACCATATAAATTCCCTTAATATGTAGAAATTAATTATTTACACCCAGTTACATACATAACCTCAAAATTAATTATTTATTTCTATCTGTTTAGAAATTCGATTATTGATTAGGGCTTACAGCACAAGGTATTTTTGTATTGTTATTTTTTTGCTGTTCTAATAATAATATTAATAATTTATTGATCATATAACACAGAAGCGTGTACATAAGTCAAAAAATACATATTAGTGGCAGTTAAAATATTAAAATATACACTTAGATATGATACTAAAGATTAAAAGTTAAAACAAAACATAGATACATTTATGGGACAAAGCTATTGTTAAGACTTTGTTTTTATAGTTTAAATATTTCAAATTTACCGCCACTTTTTATGTTGGCTACACTTTCGTAGCGGAAGTAGGTTGGTAATACAACTAACTAACTAAAAACGAGGCAAAACGATGATAGACAATTTTTTCGATTATCTCCTGTAATATAATGTTGTTGTTAAATATTAAAGTAAAAAACTAAAGAAAACCAGCGAATCATTTCAACAACCTACGCATCAACATGGTCCTTCGATTCTGGATTGCTGTTTGGACAGGCACCGAAGTTTGTGCAAATTAGTAAAAAAAACTTGCTGCAAGGTCAAGAACAAAAATTCAAGAAAACGGAAAACTCTGGGTCTTGCACGTAAAACAACTACAGGAATTTCTTCAAATTTACAGTGCTAGCAAGTGAACAAGCACACAGCAGGTCAGTTCCCTTTATTCCAATCCATTCCTTTGATCTGTGTTAGTAGTGTTATTCCTTGTATTCACATTGTTTCTTCTTAAAACAAAACAAAATGCCTCCCAAAGCAAACAATTCAAGCGCTGAGTCTCAAAACAAAGCCAAAATTCTTATTACGAATGCTAACCTTCTTATTCAAAGTTTATCTGAATTTGA